TCTTCCTCAGCCTACTCAAGCTCAACTGATGAGGGGTGAATTCCCCGAAACACTGTGTATTGAGCAGGGAGTGGTGCTTTCTTGCAGGTTTGCCGAGTCGAAGGTTCGATGGACTTCTCGTGTGCTCTGGATGGCAGTCGTGAGTCAGTCAAGTGTCAAGTAAAGTCGGCGGAATAGCGCGAGCTCCGGTGTGGGGAGCAAACCTTTCTTATTATTATTTATTAAATTTTTAATAGGGCATTCCCACAGGCCTTCTTACGGGGTACCCTATGTTTTTGTATTTTCGCAATGTACTCCCAACGTGGTGAGAGATAATAGGGAGGTTCTGCTATACGTGAAACGTAGAGAAATCACGTAGAGAGCAGGTGTCTGGGTTAGAGTCTACGGCTTCGCGTGTTTTGCAATTTGGCTCCAGATTTCTACGCGGAGATGAGGCTCTACGTTGTGGCACACGCAGAGAAAATGCATACGGATCTGCTGGGTATCATTCGAGTGCAGGCAGAAAACTGCCAAATATGGAAGGGGGAATTCCCAGTACACATTCCACGTGACTTCTCTACGTGAAACGTAAAGCAGAACAGGATTTCTTTACGTTACGGGAACGCGAAGAGAGTTCGCGTGATTCTTTGCGTCGCGTTCCCATAACGACAGCAGAACCTCCCGGCCCTATCGTCTTTTCAACTCTCACGTCTCACTCTCAGGGACCCTGAATGTCCTCCCGAGGAGACATCAGCTCTAGCACAACGCTGCTGATCCGCTGCAATTCCGTGCGGAGATGCACACACTGGTCGTGGTGATATGCGTGATTTTGAATCTGGCATACACTGTGTAATTATTTTCGAGCTCCCAGAGGTTGATAGCCGCTGTTGCAAGGAGAGTGAAACCGTTGGGAGTATCAACGGAGAGCTCGGTTGCATCAGCTGACCACCCAGACTTCAAAGCAGCTTGCCCGAATTTCTGAGTTTTTCCTTGGCTTGCGTACAAGTAGTCGATCTACGCTCTACATGCCCTTGTTAGGGTTTGAGCACTATTTTGCAGCAAGGATCTCAGACACTTTGTGCATAGTTATAACCGGGCCGGATGTTAGCGGCCGTCGCGAGCGGCCTTCGGGAACGGACACGATAATTTACTTTTTTTTATACTCAGTACAACAAAACCCGCAAGTGCAAAATAAAACAGCACTGAGTCTGTACTTCGACTACTACTACTAGTCGTATGACAATTTAGATGGACAATATACATGTAATCGAAGTACAGTGTTTGACTGTCCCTTGGTCTTGCCAGTACATGTATAGTCATCGACATGCATGCCATGAACATCCGCCAACGTCCTTCACAGCTGATATGAGACTTTCACAAAGTTTCAGCCCGTGCAGGCTGTTGGAGTGCGCATCCAAGATGTGCTAGAGCTGTTAGCCAGTTAGTTGTAGAACGTCAGTACCGTCGGTCAGTGTCGTGCAATGTTATCATGATCGCATGAGCTCGGATTGTTTAGTACCTGTCTGATGGTGTTAGTGGACATTATAGCGTAACTTGTAAGTTGTAGTTCCTTGGTCCTTTTTCTCTTCAATTGATATTAATGATAAACACTGATAATTCCACAGAGGAGAGGGTTAGCGCCATCAAGCCGAACCGTGACAAGCTACTGTTGTTGTGTATCGGTAGAAAGACTTTTCATGGCTCATTTTTGTTGTGGTCCTTTCGTTTATTTTGGTTTGTTTTGCGTTCTGCTTTGACTCGTATTTGACTGGTTTTGGTTGCATATAGTTTGTACATATCCAAGTAACGTTTACGTCATTGTCATGCGTTATGTTTTGTTGCGCCATCAAGCCGAACCGTGACAAGCTACTGTTGTTGTGTATCGGTAGAAAGACTTTTCATGGCTCATTTTTGTTGTGGTCCTTTCGTTTATTTTGGTTTGTTTTGCGTTCTGCTTTGACTCGTATTTGACTGGTTTTGGTTGCATATAGTTTGTACATATCCAAGTAACGTTTACGTCATTGTCATGCGTTATGTTTTGTTTGGGCGCATGCTCGTATGCTGCCATAAATGTTAGTCTTTTCCTTCAGTTTTCAATTTACCTCGTCGTGTCCGGTCTTCTTGTCTGTCCGTCTCCGTCTTGTCAAGAAATTATGTAGAACTCCCAGTTCAGTTTCGTTGTTGTGTGTGGCGGGTCGGATGGGTAGGGAGGCTGGGCCCCTGACGCCTGGACAACATGTGCGAGTGCACGAAATTTGGCGACCACGCCAGGATTGTCAGGGAGACGAGGAACTGGCAGGAACTCCGGTGCGAAGGAAAACGCATCGAGAACAAATCATCAAAACGACGTCGTCTGAGCTGAAGGCGCTGAGCGAGGAAACGTCTGCGAGGAGTGGCTGGCTCGTCGGAGCTGAATGCGCTGAGGGCAGATGAAATGGATGAACATCTGCGAGGAGTGGCTGGTCCGCCGGAGTTGAATGCGCTGAGGGCAGGGACGTCCCGCGAGGTGGCTGGTGAAGACGACGAGGTTGGTACGGCGGAAGTCGTTGGAGCTGAATGCGCTGAGGGCAGACGAAGACGGATAAACGTCTGCGAGGAGTGGCTGGTTCCTACGACCAGGACGGTGCGAAGGAAAACGCATTGTGAACAAATAACCCCATGTGAGTGTGACGCGGAGTTAGAAGGTGCTCTTGCTGTGATTTGTTGATTAGTTTGATTTGATTTGTTTGAGTGGTTTGGTTTGCTCGACTTGTTTGAGTGGTTTGTTTTGCTCGAGTTTGTTTGTTAGTTCGGTTTGCTCGAGTTGTTTGAATAGTTTTTTTTGCTCGATTTGTTTGAGTTTGATTTGTTTGTCCCTGGTCGGACGTTGACTTTCGTTGGAGTTTGTTGGCGTGTCGATTGTTTATTTGTTGCCTCTTGTAGTTAGTTTGATTAGTACGCTTGCGGCGTATCCGCATATGGCACAGTGTTCGCGGTCCTCGTAGAGCCCTGAAAAGGTCTTTGGTGGGGAATATGTTGTGTATCGGTAGAAAGACTTTTCATGGCTCATTTTTGTTGTGGTCCTTTCGTTTATTTTGGTTTGTTTTGCGTTCTGCTTTGACTCGTATTTGACTGGTTTTGGTTGCATGTATAGTTTGTACATATCCAAGTAACGGTTACGTCATTGTCATGCGTTATGTTTTGTTTGGGCGCATGCTCGTATGCTGCCATAAATGTTAGTCTTTTTCTTCAGTTTTCAGTTTACCTCGTGTCCGGTCTTCTTGTCTGTCCGTCTCCGTCTTGTCAAGAAATTATGTAGAACTCCCAGTTCAGTTTCGTTGTTGTGTGTGGCGGGTCGGATGGGCAGGGAGGCTGGGCCCCTGACGCCTGGACAACATGTGCGAGTGCACGAAAACTGTACATCCCCAGGCTCCATGGGAATCATGGCTGGCTTGGTACAATAACGAGACGGTAAAACCATTGGACAATACGGTCACAGGCTAACCACAATTCGACAACGCAAAGCAACGACCACGCAACTTGGGAGGTTCAATTTTACCACTGAAGGATGAGAAATGAAAGGAAACGGCATCCGGCCAAGGGCCCATCAGTGTAACAAATCGAACTCCAATATCCCACAGTACCGTACTTGGTTAAACTTTGATGGTCGAATTGTGGTTAGACCATAATTATTGCCCCACTGTCAGTCTGGTGCTAACAAGTTCATTGTGCACGTCTGACTGTACACAATCTCAGTGGTCTAGGTGATGGACTCTAATGCATAACTTGTGCCCCACTGTTTCCATGCTTTCAATGTTTTTTTTAAATATTTCCTTGGCTCACCTTGCATCTGAGTTCTTACTGTTTTTGTCCTTTCCTGGCTTATGTACTGTTTGCTCCTATCTTCTTTTCCTTTGCCGGACACATGAAACGAACCTGAGAGGCTGAACGCTTTTCAGTGGTCAACTAAGCCAATGCCATTCAGTGAAATGCCAACTGAGAGATCAAGTATAACTAACTTACTCCGACAGTTTTGGTCACTTCACTGAATAGCATTGGTGTATGGGTCACAGTAGTGGGTAGAGGATGCGGAGAACAATGGAGCAACACCAGTGCACAGGCATTCTCAGTTGACCAGCAAATCCAGCACTAGTAAAGTCAATAAGTGTTGACAAGTTTTATCCGATGGAACACACAACACGCCGGCGAGTGTGGCACTCCGTGAGTAAAGGAGAAATATCCACGGTTCGCCTGAGATCCAGTCAGACTGAGTTTTCCGGATCTGTGTGTGTCGGAATGCCAACACCCTCATAGGATTATTATTAATAACTTAGAAGTTGTAAGAAAGGGTTTGCTCCCCACACCGGAGCTCGTGCTATTCCGCCGACTTTACTTGACACTTGCTTGACTGACTCATGACTGCCAGCCAGAGCACACGAGAAGTCCATCGAACCTTCGACTCGGCAAACCTCAGTGCAAGAAAGCACCACTCCCTGCTCAATACACAGTGTTTCGGGGAATTCACCCCTCATCAGTTGAGCCGCTTGAGTAGGCTGAGGAAGATTGTGCCTGAAGAGCACTATATGGTGCTCTTCAGGCACAATCTTCCTCAGCCTACTCAAGCTCAACTGATGAGGGGTGAATTCCCCGAAACACTGTGTATTGAGCAGGGAGTGGTGCTTTCTTGCAGGTTTGCCGAGTCGAAGGTTCGATGGACTTCTCGTGTGCTCTGGCTGGCAGTCGTGAGTCAGTCAAGTAAAGTCGGCGGAATAGCGCGAGCTCCAGTGTGGGGAGCAAACCCTTTCTTACAAATCATCGCCGAAGTCGCAACCACTACTTCGAACTTAGAAGTTGCGATTATTATTATTATTATTATTATTATCAAATTTTTGATAGGGCAATCCCCACAGGCAATCAAGGCGCAGCGCAGCTCCTAAAGTGGTGGTGGTGGTGGTGTGTGTGTGGGGGGGGGGGGGGGGTAGATCAGACCCACCTCCAAGTGGTCGAATACTGAACATCTTCAAAAGAGCAACTTATAAATGGCAAATTCAGAAACTTTAGCCCCTTTCAAGGAGTAAAGAAACAAGACGGCTGATGTAGTCTCCCCGGATGTCTCCACTACATCTGGGCAGGCTATTGGCTTGCTACCTGCAGCTCAGTGTTTCCATTGCAGAGGGTGGCCAACATAAGAGAGTTGTAGGGGACAACAAAAAGGTGGCCGCTTGCGACGAATGAATTGTCGGGCAATATAAATATAAATGACACCCACCCACAGGTACATGCCCAGCAAACCGCCGGCACAACAGTGTAGAAGGGGAAGGGCTGTAGGTATGAGCAAAAGACAATGTCAACAACGACAATATGACTAATGGTCAAAGAAAACGATGGGTTGCAGAAGGCAGTGGTCGAGATGGCCGATCAGCAAGTACATTCAATGTGCAAGTGCGTGTGTGTGTGTATGTGTCTTTAATCGTCTCGGCGGTTGGAGTGGTTGGGGCATGTGGCGCGGATGCCGGACAACCGCATCCCAAAACAGGTACTGTTTGGCTCCTTCTTGCAGCGTCGCCCAGCACATGGCCCACGCCGCAGATGGAAGGACTGTGCTGTCTGGGATCTACGTCAGTGCCCGTGGCGTAGAGGCATCATGGTATGATGTTGCATGTGAGTCCCGCGCGGAGTGGCGCAGCACCTACCAAGAGCCTGACAATGCGCCTGAGCCTCCGCCCCGAGTGATATGTACAGTATGCGGACGGGATTTTGCACGGAAAGGAGACATGGCTCGGCATAAGTGTCTGGAGGAGCGTGCGCGGCCTGTGTCTGAGCAGCGGGGCGCCAGTCAGTGTGGGCGGTGGCTGAGAAGCCGCGGTGGCTTGGTCCGGCATGTGTGTGCCTCAACGGTGGATGCCACAGTGCCACCTGGAGCTACCGGAACGTCGGCACCGGCGGAGGGATGTTGTGCCGCGTATTGTGACAGGTGTGGTCGCTGCTTTCGCGGTGTCCGGGGGCGGGGCAGGCATCGCTGTTCAAGGGTGGCGCATAGACCAACAGCAGAGGAGCGCTCAGCCTTCCAGCACGTGTACATATGCGGCAAGCGGATGCGACTACCCGTGCACCTGGAGCGTCATCGAGCGTCGTGTCCTCTCTCTCTCTTCTCAAGTTTCCCAGTGATGGGATCACGTGACCCTTTTGCGGCAGTGACTCTACAGGACAGGACAGGTGTATGTGTGTGTGTGTATATGTGTGCACGTGTATATGTGTGTGTGTGTGTGTGTGTGTGTGTGTGTGTTTGTGTGTGTGCATGCGTGCGCGCGCGCGTACTCCATTGGTAATCAGTTGATCAGCTCCACAAAAGCGACTGGAAACATACCCGTACGATTACCGCATTTACCACGCCACCAATCATCGTCAATCATCTCTGTGACAACGATGATATCTCCAATCCGGAGCATTAGCTCGCCCTCCACTTCTGGAGCAAAGTCGTATACAGCTCGCACTTTGATTTCCGTCTGAGAGAGACACACATAGACAGAAAGATGCCAAATGTGTTAAATTCATTGCCAGAGCACACAGCTCTATCAAGCAGCGTAAACCAAGGTTGAATTGTAAGTAGTAGGAGGGGGGGGGGGGAGATAGATAGATAGAACAGCTTGCTGCTAGAGCGACGAGCTAGCTTAATGTCTGTGGTGCCTCCTTTGCACCATGGCTGGTAGCTCGGCCTATTTAACTCGTAGCTATATTGATGAGGCTTTTATGGCCGAAACAGCTTGCTGTCTACAGCGGGGTATTACGCTCCTCGTCGGAAGGAAATTCGACAACTGCTTGCCGCTACATACTTTTGCTATTTGTCCCTGATTGAGACGCTTGTATTACTCCCCGGGCCTGTCAGTCACCTCTGTCGATCATGCCTTCGAGAGGGACCCTGGACCTGGCAAGTTTTTTTTGGAGTCGAACACTGATCTGCCGTTGTGATTCCGGGTGCATGACTGGCGACTTTCAAGGCGGTGGTCACCATTGTTCACTCCATTGTACATGTACAGTGCTTTAGTGTCTCTCGTGCGGCCAAGGCCTGCTGAAACAGCAAATAATGTTAGGAGGAGAGGTTCTCCTTAGAAGCCATACCGTAAATGCCTGTAATAAGGCCCTGGGCGGAAACGTTAGTGAAGCTCCGGAATATGGACGTCAATTTGGGCCTGGGCGCTAATAATGTGGGCCTGGGAGTTATTTCGGATAAGTAAAAAATCAGACTGATTTTCACATCATGCCGTACTACTGCATGTACAAATCAGGTGAGCACAGTGCACTGCACACGAGGTTATCATGGTTATACTGCAGCACCGTACATACACATGGAGCGGTGCATGCGCTACACAGTAACACTGTGTAAGGGGCCGTCCGGCGTTACCGATTGTTTTTACAAAACGAAAAGTTTTAGTATTTTCAGCCCCCACCCACCCACCCGCCTTTTCTGTAGGTAAAACGAATTCCAATAAATAATTTTTAATTTTTATTGGAATTCGTTTTACCTACAGAAAAGGCGGGTGGGTGGGTGGGGGCTGAAAATACTAAAACTTTTCGTTTTGTAAAAACAATCGGTATATTGATGTCAATTTTCGACACCCAAAAGTAACTGGGTATTCTCCATCTGCATTCAATAATTATTTTCAAAACTAAACTCCATCAAACCCACCCACCCCCAAACGAAATCTTTTCGTTTTCAAAATAAAAACGGGCAGTGGGCGTTATACTGGGTGGGCGTTAATAGGGCTTGAAAGTGATGACGTCAAAAACGCCCAGGGAGTAGTAAATTGACATCAGATTTCTATTTTGGATCCACTAAGGTGTGACTTTGTTATTGCCTTAGTATGTAGGTTCATAGCAACCCACTCATGTCGCATGCAGGTGTGACTTTTATTTCGCCACCAGTTGTCACCCCGCCCCCATTAGCCAAATCAGTTAGTTTCACTGGCTACATCACCTTGCTGTGAGTAAGACCGCTTGAAATGTGCTTGGATCCATACAAAAACTGGATCCAAGTAGATCCAGTTTTTGAATTTTTGAAATTGTTGCTATGCTGTGACGTAGCACTTTCAAGCCCTATCATGTGACGGGCTCTTACGGTAGTTGATACGGTTCCTGCAGATCACCGGCACCAGCTTCACATCGTTGCATCACTTCCAATGCTTGCCGCTCGGCCAGTGCATGGAGTTTCACGGCAATATTATTATAGTCATGCATTTTCACGTCTCTGGAAGAAGTTTTTTTTCATGCGGAAACATTGACGCAAAACACAGTGTAACGTTTAAAAACATAGCCAGGGTGTAGTAAAATACCGGTATTTGACCACTCCCTGATTGGAGCCATAGTCTATGAAACACCCATTCTGGTCGATATTTTCACTTTTCTACCCCATGTGCACACTTCAGTTGGCAGTAACATAATTTCTATCTCAGAGGATACATTTACATGTGTATGATCTACATCGTGCCAGGGAAAGGGCAGCGGATACGAATACAGAAATAGATGTAGATGGCCCGGTTCTTTCCATTAGAAGTCAGAGCCTACGGCTTTCAAGTACACTGGTACCGCAGGGCCGACACCGTGCCACTGGTACGGAGGGTACGGCTATAGCCGATTAGCCGTGCCAGTTTTTAGTTTTCACTAATTCCAGCGTTCATGGAATGCTAAGTATGCAGCCTAATTACATGTATGTATATGTAGAAGTAAAAGACTATTCTTGCACGCCCTCGCTAAAAGTCTCTGTCCCTCCCGAAAAGTGTTATTCTTGTCCAATGTGGACTACTGCGCCAATACAACCAGATAATGTATAGCATTGAGCAGCTAGAGGTTCATCCTCCCCGGGATGATGAGACTGACACTGATCACAGGACTGCACTGGGTACTGGCCGGCTCTGTAGCTGACCTGGTGCCGTACCACTACCACCTCTCAGGAGCTGGCTCCAGGCCTGTACACTCCTGCTCAATGACATCTGATTGGGTGACTGCATAATGAGTCAAGTACCTGCCGGGCACTGTACAATGTCAATGGGGTATTTCCTTGTGCAGGGTGCAAAGCTGACCCACTCGATCCAGCAGCTAATCCGGGCCGCGACGTCCTGGCCGTCTACCATGGTCTACCGCCAGGTACCTTTCTCAGTTTCTGACCTCTATCAAGTCACAAAATCGGCATTTCAATGAAAACGGCAAGGAGAAGTTACGGGCAATGCCTAGTTACGGGTAGTGAACGGTTCCAACCTGCCTGGATACACACATGTAAGGGGAGTTCTATACAGTGTAAAAGTTTTGCTGTAGCGACCGATTAGTCGGCGATTACTCGATTCCGATACAGATCACATCGCTTTTTCAGGTGGATCAAAACTGGGCAGCCATTGACATAATGACTATGTCATTCCCTAACACTGGCAGTGTCGGACAAAATGCAACAGGCTACAACTAAGTACATGTAGTTACTTACAAGAACAAGTACAACTTACAAGTTACAAGGTAGGCAACAAAAGATCAGAATCGTAGAATCTCACCTCCACTGCCATGTCTCTCCTACAGACAGTGTAGTAGATTGTTGGTGTTCTTGAAACGGGTCCTAGCAGTATACAATAGTAAATCCGGTCAATGACGCTTGCAGGTCTAATGATTGACGTGCTCTTTTAGCCAGAGGAAGTGCCGGTATAGCACAGTCATGACCCGGAACCACTGACTGAGTCGAAAACTTTAAAGTCCTGGAAGTTTGTTGAAGTGCCGAATACTTGACCTTGAAACGTTGCGGAAAAGGAAAACTCATGAGTCATAATTATAACACAGCACACTAGTACTACCGACACGGGCTACCACCATCACCACTACCAGGGAGTCGACTGCAGTAGACTCGCATTCTCAAAATGGAGAAGGACAAAGCGACTCAGCTCAACCAAAGACGGTACAGATCTACATGAGTCAAGACTAGTACAAGACATGTGCGTGAAACCCAGAGCGCCAGAGACTTTTCGAGTGTGCAGTTCGATACGAATGGTTTGCCAGGAAAGCTAATACTGTAACTAGTGTGAGCTGCCTTGCACTGACCACACAGACTACACGTAGACGGTCTGTAATAATCGGATCGCGCGATCACCGTCGACCATGACCATTGATGACCGTCGACGCGTCCTTGTCCTTGATCAAGACAAGTTGATGACCTGCGATTGCGAAGCGAACACAAACCGCCTGTGTTTTACGCTACACGACATGTAGATCTACATCATGACTGTAGGCTTTTACAAGTATTAGTTTTAGTTTTACGACTCCCTAGCCTTTGGCCTTTGACCAACCCACTCACTGCCACTGGCACTGACCGTGCCTGCCTCAGCCTGCCTGGAGTCTGGACTGTCTGCATCTGTAGCAGTACAGGGCCTAGGGAGTACAGACTACAGACAGTACAGTACAGTAGTAAAAATACAGTGTTTTAGTTTTTACAGTCTTTTACTACTCCCTGGTCACTGACCGACCGTGTATACAATACTACCTGGTACATCTGATTTCTGACATCTCGCTACACTAGCAGCTAGCTAGCTGTACATGATAAAGGAGCGAAGTCGAGTAGAGGCGGTGACCGGTGGGAAACTGGTGCTGCACGCTGATAAACTGGGTGGATTGCAAGCAATCAAACAATCTTGCATTCTTGGACATTCGGATTCTGCAGTATTTCGTCCATCTGGACGATGCTGTTCGTTTTTTTAGGAAGGTGGTAGACACGCACGCGCAGGTATGCCTATCCCAGGAGCCAACCGCTCCATTCGCCTGGGCTCGGATGCGGCCATGGGCACACATATTCCTCTGAGGCGGCTGGCCATCGAGAATCGCCAGAACGTAGCCCGACTGATCAAGGTACTATGTAGGAAGGCTGGGGAAGTGGGATCCATAGCCGGACTTGGCTTCCTCGCGCTAGACCTAGGTTATTAGGGAATGTTGTGCAATTTAGTTGAATGCATGCGAGAGACGCAACGGGGTGCACGGACATGACGAAAAGAAAATGCAACATTATTGCAATTATGCATGTACGTTGCCCACTTACTCCTACATACACTCAGTGATTATCATTGTGATTGTGAAGGCCTTTTCCCTGAAACTGCCGATACATGTTGCATTATGGTACTAGATAAACCTGGTTTTGTTGAAACATGTTGGTTGACAGCATGCATGCATATAACAAGCTATAAGGTGGAGACCACCATGTTATAATTTTTTTATTTTTCTAAATGCTGTAAACCAACAACACGTTGCATTATGTATACGCAGTTTAGGTATGCACGCACGGACATTCATGCAGTCTGAACAGTCGTGCCATTGATGTCATGTGCCCAGGAACATCTGATATACCATGTACCAGATGAAAACAGTAGAGAGATTCGCACCACACACATTGAGCGGACGTGTGTAGGGGGTGAAATCCCGGCAAGGTCCAGTCATACAAGTTGCGGCACCTGAAACCACACATGTGTGAGGTCGCTCTCGCTTTGGGCCAAGGGTGGGTAGTTTTTTTGCGTTTTGCATTTTTGTTGGTATTCGAAAATTATTTCACAATCGCTCGTTTGCAACTTTCCCCCGCACTAATGAATAATCACTGACTTGCTGATGATTTTGTTCAGTAGGCTTGTGTAGGTCCGCTTGCACACGTAGTTCTTCGTTTCATACCACTAAAGTCGGCGAAGATGCAAGCTGTGTGAGTTCTGGACCTGAGCGCCCAGATACACATGTTTGTGTTCAAGTCGAGTGAATCTTAATCTCTCTAAAACAACTTGCAATTGCACCTCTGGCATGCAAACCATGGTTCATGCTAGTGCCACAACAACAACAACAATAAACAACAACAGGCTTCGGCATTGGTGCCAGGCCCGCCAGCCCCGGCTGGTACCCACTGACTCTGAAGTAGTTCATGGTCTGTAAACGTGGTGAAATAGTGGCTACGATCAGCTAGTGTGTGTGTGGGAGGGGGGGGGGGGGGGTGAACTCGGGTGCATTTGTGAATGTCACACTGCTGGAAATGGAGTCACGTTTACTGCGCTAAGCCGGTCCAACCTGTCTTCCAGGCTGTAGTCACCGTAGTGCCATCTTTCCGTATTTCAACCTACCTATTATAATAGTATTACTTCGAAGTACTTGACTGATGTGAAAAGTGACTGTGTCATAACACATGCCACGTATCAGGATGGTTTGGGATGTTCTAATCTATTCTGTGTTCTCTGGCATGTGCAGTACACCAAGCTTGGCAACCAGGAGCAGGTGCAGGAAATTGTGCGCTCGGTGCGTGGACGTCCCAACCGCAAGCATGTCATCAACGGGCGTGATAGGCTCGGCCTGACCGCTCTGCACTACGCATCAAAGTTGAACAAAGCAGAGATTGTCGAGTTGCTGATAGCGGCCAACGCAGGTATGGCTTGTTCTTCTACTAGGTAGGATAATTCTTCTGAAAGATCACAATGTGAATGCACATACAGCAGCACATGGACGAGTGCACCGTATACGAGCGAGTGCACAGTACATGGTTTGGTGTACCGTGCACTTTTTTTGGGAGAAATTTTGAGCGTTCAAACTTCAAAGTGTGGCTTACACTTTGGAAAATACGGTACTTACACTAGGAGTTCAATCATGTTGAAAACTGCCTCTATATTCCTGTGCAGTTCGTTACTGTAGTAGCCCTATTGTTTGGGTAAATGACGAAATACAGCCCGGTCGGATGGATGTGCCATGGCCCCACCAGAAGGACCAGGGATCTTGCAAGCCACATCGTATTCCATTACGGTGTAATACCGTGCATGTGTATGTGGGCATTACCGTCTGTACAGCTGTGTCCGTACTGCTTCCGAATGTGTGCAACTGCTCTGCTTGTTTCAGATGTAAACCGGCGCTCAGATGACACTGATAAGCTTTCTGCGTTCCACTACATCTGCCGCTGGCAGTCGGAGAGTGAAGACAGGGCCGGAAGTGCTGTTAGCCTCACAGAGCAGTCAGCCGCTCAAACGCTTACAAAGCTAATTGACCATGGCGCGGAGGTATGTGTACTGTGCTTGGATTTGTGTTACTACATGTACTGATTTCAATTCACCATGCCTGTGAAAACACCATGCCTGTGAAAACAACACCATGCCTGTGAAAACACCAGGTCTGTGCAGACAACGTGCTAATACAGTACTGTCGGGCGCCGAAGAACGGCCAGGCTAGAATTTCACTAATTTTTAAGAACGGTCTAGGCTGGATTTTTTGCAGATAAGAACGGAAACTGTAACAGAAACTATAGTGCACACTCAGACGCATAACTCTGCATAAATGTACATGTATGACAGTACCATCGAATAAGAACGAAACTGCTGTGTTCGCTAAAAATGAGAACAGGCTAGGCTAGAACCCTGACCCCCCCCCCCCCCCCCCGTTCTTCGGCCCGACAGTACTGTACCATCACTGTTTCACTACTAACTGACTAACGTTATTATGACCAAGAGTAGTAGATTCTTGATGCTAGGGAAAGGCGTGTTACATTTGTTTGTGTTCTAGCGTTTAGTTGATGAGCATGTACGTCTTTTCGATGGTACGATAATTCCTAAGCAACACAATTGTATAGCCGGTGGTAAGGCGGACATGCAAACATTGCTCTTGCATGTACATCCAAGTACAGGCCATTAGTTCAGTCTAGATTAGTCTTATTTTTCAAGTTAAGTATTTTGGCATTTTTTCTTGTTTTTGCTGCTGTTGCTGCTGCTGCTGTTACAGATCAACGAAGAAGACAACTATGGCATGACGGGTCTGCATCATGCATGCCAGCGTGGAAATATTACAACTGTGCAGATCTTGCTGGAAAAGTGGGGTGGCAGGCTCAAGATTGATGCGGAGGACAGGCAACAGCAAACACCACTGCATATGGCCGCCAATCACGGGAACATCAAGCTTGTGGAGCTACTTCTGAATGCAGGTGCACAGGACGTCTCCTACATGCACGCGTGTGTGTGTGTGCGCGCGCGCGTGCGTGCATGTGTGTGTGCGTGTGTGCGTGCATGCGTGTGTGCGTGTGTGTGTGTGCATGCGTGCATGTTTGTTTTTGACTTTGCAGTTCAGTCACATGACAGTTGGCCTTAGCCAGCAATATCATTCTTCTCCAGTCCTGGCCTTAGCCAGCAATATCATTCTTCTCCAGTCCTGGCCTTAGCCAGCAATATCACTCTTCTCCAGTCCTGGCCAACCCACGAGTCGAAAGCAGCATCGCGTTCCCATTTCAATTACATCATGCACGGTCCAAAACCCATCCCAGGGCCGCAGCGCCCCGTATAAACAAAGGCGCGGTTTTTGGCTCACGGTTCGGATTTCTTTGGCCACGACTGTACATGCATCGGATCCTAAAGCACATGTACACACTACACTAGCATTCGGGCTTGTACTCTAAGGCTGCTGATAGCTGCCTCTGTCACATGCCTGTAAACCTGTTCACACAGGCTCTGACCCTTTCCATGCGGACGAGCTTGGTTCACTGCCTATCCACTTGGCAGCGCGTGAAGGCCACATTGACACGGCTAAGGCGATGGCCAAGCATGTCACGAAGAGTCAGCCGCTCGCACTGGAGAGTCTGATGGGCGCCGTGGACGGCGAGGGTGGCACTATCCTGCACGAAGCTGTCAACAATGGCAACTTTGAAATGGTCAAGTTTGCGTTTGTGGTAAGCCTATCGCTGTGTGTTAGTGCATGCATGTTATGCGATGGCGGTGGTGGTGGTGGTGATGGTGGTGGTATGTGCGTCGACGGCGGTGGTGGCGGTGATGTTATGTGCGGCGGTGATGTTATGTGCGGCGGTGATGTTATGTGCGGCGGTGGTGTTATGTGCGTCGGCGGTGGTGGTGTTATGTGCGTCTGTTTGTATAATAAATGTGGCCACCAACAGGAATACTGGTCTCATCGTGTGTACGCAAATTGCGTCCGCCGTCGCACCGTGTCATTTCTTTTCACATGTCCTAGCTTCTAGAGCAGCCACTGTAACACTCAGAGCTGGCCAAGGATCACTCAGAAGACAAATACCTTTATCTCGTCTATTCTCCTGACCCAGGACCGCTCTGAAGACAAAGACCGTCATTTCTTCCATCTCCTTACCTAGTGCACTGCCCCAATTGTGTTTACGTTATCAATGTGATCATCTTGTTGACATCATTGTGTCTCATACTGCTGATGGTGTCGCTGTGCCGTTGTCACTATTGTCATGAACAATGCTTCTTGTTGTTATGCGTAGAACAAAGTGAATCCGAACACAGCAACACTGACCGGCGACACTGCCCTGCACATTGCTGCGGGTAAAGGCCATATGGAGATTGTCACGTTCCTCGTCAACGAGGCCAAGGCGGAAATCGATGCAGCCGACGAGAGTGGAAACACGCCTCTGCACGACGCGGCACGTCTCAACCGTGAGGATGTGTTGCTGTTCTTGCTGAAAGAGTACGTACCACTCTTTCCCAAGCGTACACACCGTATATTCCGGAGTATAAGCTGCAGTTCAATCCCTCATAATTGACCCAAAAAAAGTCGGTGCGGCTTATACTACACTGGTCAATTGAACCCGTCAAATGTGCTACACGTCTGCATTTCGTGACAACAAAATCTAATATAATATTCGCGGGATCCGCGTTAGCATCACTTGAATGTTCAGAAACACACAAGCTATAGCCTTCGCTTCCGCAGGCCACCACTATGCCTTTACACCTTAGTGGCGAATGCAGACCTCACAAGTGAGTCAGGGGAGAGGAGGTGAGTCTCTCAACCAATCGGGCGTGTAACGGCCCATAACCCTGTAAACTGCATCCTTGTTATCCTCACTCGAGCTGTGAGTACCCAGTTGACCGTGGGTTTCGGCGCAGTTCAACACGCGTAAAAAGTCTTTTTACACGCTCCCTGCTGCCAGCGCGGGTCTCGAACTCGGGACCTTATGATTCGCAGGCAGGCCTGCAAACCAATCGGCCATATGCGTTGGTCTACAACAAAATCTGGGTGCAGCTTATACTCCAGTACAGTTTATACTCCGGTGACCGCGGTCAGTGTGGCTTATACTCCAGTGTGGCTTATACTCCAGTGTGGCTTATACTCCAGTGCGGTTTTTCCTCTGCCTGCTTCCGTGTGGACAGCGTGGTGGCTTCTGAAAGCTGTAAAATACTACGGCCCGTTTACTGTACACGATGTCTGAGTGATGATGGAAGCAGTGCGCATGTGCAATAGATAAGATAGCACGTAATCCGTTCAAAGACATCAAAGTTCATTCACGTGCAATGCGTGTGCACTATAATTGTCCTTTCACCATACAGAGGAGCCGACATAGACATGGCGAACGCAGATGGCCACACACCGTTGATGAAGGCCGCCAGCTGGGGTCAGAAGCGAACCGTCAGTGCCTTGCTGGAAGCTGGAGCTAACGTGACTCACAAAGACAATGAGGAGAAGACGGTCTTCTGGCATGCTGTCAGGGGAAATCATATTGAGACAGTACAGGTATGTATGTACAGACTGTAGACAGTACAGATATGTATGTACAGACTGTAGACAGTACAGATATGTATGTACAGACTGTAGACAGTACAGATATGTATGTGCAGTCTGTAGACAGTACAGATATGCTGTGTTCTGTTCCTGTGCTCTGTTTTTGGACAGTCAAGAACTTGTACTGGAGTGTAATGTGTTGGGCTCGCTCATGCTGGTATGCGCAGCGCCGTGTGTTCCTATGATTGTGTGTATGTGCGTGTGTGTGTGTGTGTGTATGTGTGTGTGTGTGTGGTGTCACTTCAAACAGCTGTGTGGTGGATACCAGGCTAAAAATAGTGGCGGTCAATTCATCAGCCTTGCAAGCTGTTGAATGGTGTAATCCCAGCACAAGTTGCTATGTATAGCTGTTCGCTATCATCGCTCCCGCGATGGGCATGTCTGAGGTCTGAGGTGTGTGGTGTGTGTGTGTGTGTGTGTGTGTGTGTGGTGTGTGTGTGCACGCACACGTGCATGCATATGTACATGTGCCTGTGCAGGTGCTGTCGCAAGATCCGCGTTACCTGAGCTTCCTTCAGCTTGCCGACCAGTTCGGTAACACAGCCCTCCACCTGTCCGCGTCACTCGGCTCGCTGCATTTGACAGAGGTATACATGTTATATAGAGAAAATACCACTAATAGTAATCACTAATCAGCATGGACTTTAATGTATTAGTGAATGTGGTGGGTATCTCTGGAACAAACCTGCTCAGTCTGCGAATAGAGGGCGCATATCCACCCAAACTTTCAAACAGGCTTGCTACGGTTGTACACAATGCACGCCGCGCAACTATCAAAAACACCAAGAAAGGCATGGTTTGTCGGCACAAGTCTTGCATCTATTGTTTTGAAATGTGCTCATGTTTACGTCTGAGTGTTGAGCCCAATTGATACCGACATGCGCTGTAACGTTATGCGCCTGTAGTGGGCTGGCACATGTCTCTCATACACAGCCTGCTGCATGCATACCAGGGGAGTGTGTATTCTGTATTGTGTTTTCTAGCTGTTGATAAGCCACAGAGCTGTGCCTGATGCAAGGAATGATGAAGAGAAGACACCGCTGCACTTGGCAGCCGCAAACGGCCATCCAATGTAAGTCCCAGTGCAGCTGCTAGTCGGTGTGGATCAGTGTGGCTCTTGATGAGTAGCGTTCCAGTAAATTGGCCGGGGTCCATGTGTGTGTGTGTGTGCGCGTGCATGTGTGTGTGTTCCCTGACACAGGACATGCTCTGCATTGTGCCGGAAAAGCGAGGCACTACTGGAAGATGAGGACGAGTCTGGAAACAAGCCGCTCCATCTTGCAGCCACGAATGGCCATGACGTGGTTGTGAAGGTTCTCCTGGACTTGGGTGCAGCGGTGGATGGGAGGTATGTGTCAACTGCACTGCCAGGGTTGTAGCTGCTCCACAGGGCTAGAAGTGTAGCAGTTGTGTGAGCTCCTGAATGCTCATACATGCTTGTACGTATGTGCATTGCTGCAGACATTAAAGACATGTACATTGCTGCAGACATTAAAGACATGTACATTGCTGCAGACATTAAAGACATGTACATTGCTGCAGACATTGGATACATGTACATTACTGTGGACATTGATGACATGACGCAGTTACATGATGGTATTGTAAGTTAGGTCTAGTGCTAACTTTATTATTTATTCACCTGTTCCACTGGCCCTCTGGTCTGGGATAGACTCTTCTTCTTCAGGGAGTGCATGCAGGTAATGTATCATGCCGGCTAGGGGAGCTGAAACCGTGCATTGAACAGCGGTGCCTTCGATTTTGAAGGGGCTACATATCATTGATTGTAGGAGGGGGGGGGGGGGCACCATGCTATATCACTTTGCCACTTTGGCTATAGCCCCTGCCGCTCTGACCAGAGCATGTCTGCTCGTGACAGCCTCCTATTGCAGCAGGAAACATTCACAGGTTAGGCCGAGTTTTCCGCATCCGTAGGAATGTCACCATCCTCAAAGGTCAAGGCGCAGTTGCAGCTCCTAAAGCAGTGGGAGGTGAGTAGATCGGACCCACCACTTCAAGTGGTCAAAGGCCAAAAACCTTACTCGCTGCATCCATGTTTCCCTCGTGCCAGGTATGAGCAACAGGAAAAGATACGCGTGGAAATGCGTTTTGCGTCTGATTCTCTGGCACTGCTGTAGGAACTCGAAGAGTTGGACACCGCTTGACTGCGCTGCTGGCGTTGGTGCTCGCATCTGTTGTCAGGTGCTGCTGGAGCACGATGCGCCAGTTGACGCCAAAGACAAGAAGAATGTAAGCTATTGACATTTTTGTGACTTACAACGCGCCTGATGTTGTACCTTGAAGCCAGTGTGATTGGTAGCTTCTACCATCAGGGGAGAGAAACATTTTGATTCTCCTATTGATCTCTTTTGTGTTGCCTACGACTTTCCGGATTCTGGATAATAAAAACTGTAAAATTCACGTGCCGAATGCACTTTGAAGTGTGGTCCAGTGTTGAATTGTCGCTGTGTTGTGTTGTTGGTTTGGTCCTGTGCTGTAGCGTACACCATTGCATATTGCTGCACGGTCTGGGCACACGAAGATTGCATTGCTGCTAGTGGACCATGGTGCCGATATCAGCCACTTTGACAAAACTGGTCGCAACTGCTTGGATCTGGCCATCGATCACCAACAGGAGTGAGTTGTGCATGCAGTGTGTGCGTGTGTGTGGCTGACATGTGGAATGCGTCCATCTATGTGTGTCGGCTTTCCTGAGCAGTCCTGGTGTGGATAATAGGGGATAAGCTTGGATCTGCCCCGGGAAGTGTGTTTGAAAGCAACCAGTTTTTTTGCTATCTCAATCCCGTAGACATCTGTAGCATCATAGCAAGACACTGTTTCCAGACCTCTAACTCAGAAGTCCGATAAGCAGTTTGGCTTCATTCATAGGTACAGCTTGACATCTCTCAAACGAATTAAACAATGTACTAACACGAGCTTTCTATCTGTATGTGCTTTGATTTCTTGTGCTGTAAAGGGAGGTTGCCGAAGCGTTAGTGCGCCATGAACGCTGGAGAGAAGCATTGCGCAATGTGTCGCGTTCCAAGCTGCAGCGGAAAGGGAACCGCTACCAGAACACGCCTCTCCTGAAGCTCATCCGCCGAATGCCAGGTATGCCTGCAGAAGTAGCATGCCTGTGCTGTTAGCGTATATGCTATAGGCGTACAAACTTGAGTCATGTGCATGTTGGGATAACTGAAGTTTATGGCCAGTATGTGTGTGTGTGTATGTGTGTGTGTGTGTGTGTGTGTGTGTGTGTGTGTGTGTGTGTGTGTGTGTGTGTGCGTGTGCGTGTGTGTGTATGCATAGCCGGCTGCATGTACAGCTTGGTGCCTCTGGACCATGGCCGCGGTAAATGACTTTTCAGTTACAGTGAAAAGCAAGTGGCAAACTGCTGTGGACACACAGACGCGTGCATTGGTAGTTTGTAGAATGTCATTCTCAGATCGGCTGACCCCTGCTGGCTGGAATTGTTGATCGTGCTCAGATGTTGCTCAGATCGTCTTCACGCAGTGCATGGCAGAGTCACAGAATGTGCCTGTGGAGGGCATTGACTACAAGGTGACAATGGACTATGAGTTCATCGACTACATACCACCAAAGACAGGCACAGGTAAGCTGCTGGCATCAACGGTCTAAAAGGAATAGCTTAGACGTAGGCAACCAGCGTCTTCATTCATATACAGTGCATAGGTAGTCTTGTGCCATTTTGGTGCCTGGTTTCTCTACTGAAGTTACCGAAATGAACGTTACACCGAATTAATGTATCCTACAGTAACCTTGCTATGCTGCAATATGCCCCCGTTGGTGGAATGCGCAGATAATGACAACGATGATGCCACCGACGGTGATGATGAAACTGACGTGGATGACTTTGGTCAGAAAGTGGAGACGTGGACAGACTGGAATCCCGACCGTGCCCACAACCACCCACTCATAGTCATGGTAATGTGAACATAACAGTGTGATCTCTATACAGTCGAATGTCACTTATCCGGACGCCAGTTATCCGAGCACGTTGGTTATCCGACAAGCCCGGGAGTGGTAATTTTATGACTCAACAGTAAATAAAAGAACCTTTTTTGTATATTATACGGTGTAATATGCATTTACTTGAAGTAGATGTGGTCAAGTATGCTAACATGTATGTGTGCATGGAATATGCATGAATTATTTGGGTATTGTGTACATAAATCAGTGAAATCCAGCCATATATGCACATACAAAATGATATCAGTTATCCAACATATTCAGTTATCCAACATGCCTGATTCCCGAAGTGGTCGGATAAGTGACATTCGACTGTACATCACTGATCTATCATACATGCACCAATACACTACATGTACCGCTGTTCACTTGTTTTATTTTATTCTTGTTCTTATTTTACTAGGGAATTCCCAACAGGCATCATCGCCTTTTTACAGGAAACCCTTGACTCTTGTCTTGTCTGCACTGTGTGCTACATGATATGGGCAAGTGAAGAAAAGATGCCACCAGTGTGCTGTGTCGCTCAGTGTCACTGTACACAGGCCACCAGTGCGCTGTGCCACTCAGTGTCACTGTACACAGACCAGCACATGTAATAGCTTACAATGCAAGCCATACTAATTCAATAAATTGATCTGCACTCGACACACGGGTCATGGCAGAGTACCCCGCCGCCTCCGTATATCGCTGTGTCAATATTCCCTACTGTACTGCTGAACTGCCCAGGTGGAAAGCAACCGTGAGGCGCTGCTCGCTCACCCGCTGGTCTCCACACTGCTCGACTACAAGTGGAAGAAGTTCATTCGCTATTTCTACTTCATCGGTCTGCTGCTCTTCTCTATCTACCTGGCCTTCATCACTGCATTTGCGTTGACCACAGAACCTGCACGAACAGGTGAGTGTCTAAGCTCGTTGCCCTTGTTTGGAAAAGAAGATGAGCAACATACCTGCTTGTACAGTGTGCTGATAGATAGTGGCTAGAGGTGCTTCACTTTGTGAGGTCTATTATTATCGACTTACCGGTGATGCTGATCCACCCTTGTGATAAATGCGCGTGTGTGTGTGTGTGTGTGTGTGTGCGTGCGTGTGCGTGTGTGGGCGTATGTGTGTGTGTGGGCGTGTGTGTGTGCGTGCGTGCGTGCAAATATCCTATACCTTGCATTTCCTGTACAGGTTGTGTCGCGAACCCTGTCACGAATGCCACAGCAAACGCTACGACCAGCGCGGACTGCAATGGTGGCAGCTTTCGACCGGGATTGGACTGTCCATTGTCTAAGCAACGAGCAATCGTTCTATGCCGCGTCATCATTATAGCGTACAGCTTTTTCCGGTTCCTTTCGGAACTCGTGGAAGCGTACGCCAATCCGACTACCTATGTAGATACCCAGAATCTGTTGGACTGGGTAACGCATCTCACTGGTGTCATATTCGCATGGGACTTCGAAGGCGATGAGAAGCAATGTGTCATTGAAAATTGGCAGTGGCAGGTAATATACACATGATTGTGCAGAGTAGTGTGCAAACTGTAATTTGTGTTTGTGTGTTGGGGGAAGGGGGGGGGGGGGGTGCATGTTAGCAGCATGAGAGTGAAGCATGCAGGTATAGGAAGTTGTTCATCCAGTACCTCAGAAGTAGGATGTATCGCTGCTGCTGTTGTTGTTGTTGTTTTGAATTTGAATTCTTTATTCTCACTTTGTTGTTGTTGTTGTTGTTGTAAAGCAGGATTTTTACACTGAAGCAAGTCGTTAAATCATCACATCGTGTTGCTTGCTATTATGTTCTTATAGGTTGGCGTGGTGGCGGTATGGCTGGCCTGGTTGTCTTTCATATCACTACAACGTCGCTCCGGTATTCTCGGCATCTACGTTGTGATGTTTTCGCACGTCTTCACAACATTCGCCAAGATGCTTGCCGTCATTGTGCTGTTTGTGGTTGCGTTTGGCCTGGCCTTCTTCATGCTGCTAGACAGCTTTACACCAGTGGTAAGGGAACAAAATTCTCTCAGTACGCTGCCAGCACTGCTGCATACCGCTCAAGGCTGGTGGTGGGTTTAAGGGGGTTCATGAAGGTCTGAATGGGGTTGAAATTCCTCGACAATGTTATTCAGTGAAATGAGAAGAAACGGTACTCGTCACGCTCTGCATCCGAAATGTTTTTTAAAGTATGCGCAGGGAAAGGTCAAGACCGTGCAGTGACCACTCGTATGTGTCACCGCGTGTGCATCTGTACAACAACATAACGATACATCTTAAACTATGTTCCTTTCAGATTGCTTTCTCCAACCCTGGTCGAGCATTGCTGAAGACAGCCGTGTCAATGACGGGAGAGTTTGAGTTTGACTCGACATTCAATAACGAGGCCGGTGATGTACCGTTTCCCGGTGTCTCCTATTTCCTATGGGTCTGCTTCCTGGTCATTATGCCCATCATTCTCATGAACATGCTGGTGAGTTTCATAATCCTATTCTGCAGTACTGTCGGTCGCTGACGAGCTGGGGGTGGCATGTTTGTAGCCTAGACCGTTCTTATTTCCATGTACTACGGTCCATGCACAGTTGAGTCACCGTGTATACAATTACATTGGTATGCCGTGCTTGGTCAAAGTCTAGGCTGTCCGTTCTTTGGCGCTCGACAGTACTGTAGGTACAGAGATAATGTGCTACTCTGACATAAGCATTGTACTTGGATACTGTGCTACTCTCACATACACATTATACTTGAAGTACTTAAAAGTCGTATAATTATGCAGTAAGGGGCCGTCCGTAAATATCGAACTTTTGTCACCAAACGAATTATTTTAGTTTAGACCCAACCCCTCCCTCCCTCCCCCTCAGAACGTAAAAAATGTTGAGATGTACATGTACATGTGTATACAGTGAGTATCGTTTATAAAGTGACCGGGTGTAACGATATACCGGCTATAACGATAGAACTCGCCAAAATCAAAATCAAATCACAAAAAAATACAGCTAAAATATCACTATACACACTATTATCGGCTATACCGATATATCGCTTGTTGTGATGGGCTTCAGGAAGCAAACCATATCAAATACACAGGAAAATATCGCATATACTGATCAAGAGTGTTGATCACAAAACAAGTGTTCTTCCAGTATAGTTCACTTCTTCCAAAACTGATCCAGTGTTGCCTGGATGCATCTGGCAGCAGACGTGATTGAGAGAAAATTCTCCCCTGTATGCTGTAAGCAGCCACATGTACACGTGGCTGCTTTTCATGTTTTTTTCCAGCGTGTACGCATCATTTCATGCACAGTCATGTGCCATGTGTCAGTCATACATGCAAATCGGCTATAGTGATGCACCGGATATAGTGATAAATTATCGAAAATCAAAGGGGCACGTTATATCCACTATTTACTGTACAACAAGAGTCGCAAGTGTGTCACTGCTCCTACGGCCATGTACATGTATCGAAGTTTTCTGAAACGAAATTGGTCAACCCCCTCCCATCCCATAACGAAATTATTTCGTTTCGTGAAAAAAGTTCGATAATTATGGACGACCCCTAAGACCCTGCTTACCAAGTCATCTTTTTTCTTTTCTTTCAGTTCTATCCTGAATCCTGACTAGGCTATCACCAACCGACAGGCAAACCGGCTAGAATGAATGTGCAGAAAACACACCACTGTACTCATACAACCACTGAATGCAGCATAGCCTTGATGTGTCAGCATCACCCACTGTGCCTATACAGGCTACAAGTTAGGATTCATTCGGTGCCCGCAGTGCACACCTCTATGGTTGTCCAGGCAACCGTGGACCGTCATAGGTTTTTCAAAGCAGAAATCCAACCTTATTTTAAAAACATGGGGCTCTCCTTTTTCTACCATCATCCTGCCATGGTGTTCATTGCTGTTTGCGCCGTACATTGTGCATTCTAGGTTGGTTTGGCTGTCGATGACATCAAAGGTGTGCAGGAGAATGCACGTCTTAGCCAACTCAGCATGCAAGTGCGCCTGGTGCTCAGCATTGAGCGGAGACTTCCCTTCTACTTCCACAAGAAACTGGGGCTGAACATCCCGTCGTTGACCATCTCTCCGAATGAACCTCCGTCTCTGCGCTCGCGCATCAAGGACTACTTGTTTGAGGATCGCCTGTCCAATGAGAAGATACAAGAGTCACTCAACCCAACAAAAGTATGTGCTGGTAATGCCTGGTATCCTCGATCAAAGCGTTTTCAATGTTTAGCTTACTAGACTTGTAGTGTGTTGATTTTGCACCCCCGTTTTACTCGGACAGTGGCAGGACAGTGCCCTACCAAATTACCAATTAGGCTGCCGGGCGTGTGTATACACACACACACACACACACACACACACACACACACACACACACACAGACACACACACACACACACACACACACACACACACACACACACATGGCCCCTCTTGCTACGCTCATTCTCTGTCCAAGCAGGGTTGGCACGGCAACGGTCCGGTATAAATACTTGTAAATACATAAAAGTTATAAATTATAATGATAAAGCGCATAAATGCAGGCCCCATTGAACATTCTGGGCCGTGCTTCTATTGTCGTTTGCTTGGCTAGTTGTACTGTCATCGGCGTACCTGTGTGTGTGCTTGCTTGTAGAGTGAACTGGACCGAATTGAGGATCAGAACAGGGAGTTGCGAGGACAACTGAAGGACCTGGTCAAGTACGTCACAGACAGCCAGGAGCAGGTACGGGAGCTACGCGGCTGGGTGAGAGCTCTGTGTCGCCAGCAGGATGTGCAGGAGGCCGATGCAGAGTACATCTAGATCTAGTGAACTATGCTAATCCATGCCATGGTAGTAGTAGTAGTCTCTGGCTTAAGAACAGGTGCAGGCTGATGCTGAGCGACTTACTTAGCTCATTGACATAAACCTATTCATGCATGTTACATGATGTAATGCTATTGTGTGCATCAAGTAAAGGGGAGCTGTACTCGCAACAAAAGTTCAACTCCCGAATCACGAGCATATCTTCTTGTACTTTAGCTTCTGCCCAAAGGTGTGTATTTTCAATGCAGTGCTCGCAAGCACACAACAATTAGATAGAATTATCCAAACCTGAGCAGAAAATATAGCGTTGATTACTATACTGCTCTCTTATAGTTATGAGCTTTGAGTCTCTCTCTATATATGTCTTTTTTATTTGATTAGTTTCTGATCTGTCTAGACGTGGCATGCATGTGAAGCTTGCTAGCCATTACTCTCTGTTTGTTTGTTGGATAAGTCACATTTTTAAAGTGACAACATGAGGGCAGGGCCTATTCATAGATTTGCACAGTACTGAGTATAAGATACACTGTACATGTATTGCGTTGGCAAAAGTGGTTCTCCAATGTCAGCTTTGAAGTGACGACGGTGATGCTGTTTAGAGAATATTTAATCTGCTGGCACACTTTAGATACTGCCCGTAACTTCTCAGTTTGAACCAAGGCAAGAAGGTACTTCTAGTAACAGCATACACTGTCCTGGTTGTGGGGCACTGTAGGGCTACTCAAAGACAATGTGTTAGTGGCGGTGGCGGTGATGACTATGACAGACCTCCGTGAGCTTGTCTTGGTTTGTGGTGCATGCACGTGCGCGCACAGGATTGCATGCCCACATGTACACACCCACACACAAACACATAAGAAGCTACCCCCCCCAACACACCCACACACAAACACATAAGAAGCTACCCCCCCCCCCCCCCAACACACCCACACACCCAAGTGCATCACTCGCACATAGAAAGAAAACGTTTCCGCTCACCTGGCTATGCTTCAGCAGTGTCAGCATTGTATTGTGCGGAGTAACTACACGTCACGTGATAGTGCTTGGGGTCACTAGGTCACAGGTGTCTTGGTGTAGACTGTAGACTAGTGGCAGTGCTGCAAGGACTGGTGGCTACTGGTGAGCAGCTTGCATTGTCAACGATCTACGGGCAAAAGTAAACAAATACAAAGTGTCAGGAGACATGGGTGTCAAACACCCCACAAAGGATATAATTATGTGTGTGGAGGTACCAGGTGCAACCTGAGAACTACTCTACTACTGTAGATGTACTTGAGGGTGCCTCTCAGAGCACTGCAAAATAGGCTCCACAAAACACTCAAGGAATGCAGTTTGAACACGATCAGTCTCACACAACTACTGTCCATACCAGGACTCAAATGCATGGCCCATGGGTGCACAACTTTACTTTTTGAACATTTAGATTACTCTCATGCAACACGGTTGTGGAATCAAATATCGTGGACAGTATCAGTAGATCCCCGCAAGGACAAGTGACCATACAGCAGCACTTTACTGGTCCACACCATTGTAAATCTCCAGTGCTGTGTGCATAGACGTGTCTGCAAGTGATACTAGTGGTGGCAAGACCAGCAATGGTGAGCCAACAATGACGCACACACACGGAAGATGCTGTGGAGATAACTGCATTGTACATCATGCCTGTTGGGCCTACATGTATGTGAATTGGCTGAACACAACACTTTCCAAAGGTCTTGCAGAAGTACATTCTTCGTGAACTCAGAAAATGCTATGCAATGTCACTATAACTATAATCGAGTAAAAATCCAACATAAGCAAGTAAGTTACGGTAGCAGGGAGTGGTCGGTAAGACTCCCTCCCTGCCACGTATTGAATGTATCAGCCCACGGTCAGGCAGGCAGGGCAGGGAAAAATCGACAGTGACATCACGTCTTCAGAGGTTTCACATGCCCTCAAGCCAGCACGGGTCATAGCAACTGACACTTGAGCTGTGGCTGCAGCCTGCCCGCAGCATTACACACAGAACCAAGCCAGATTTTCTGTGCCACGAGCATAGCTCATAAGCAGCAAACCCTGGTGAAGCACAGCTGCAATGCCTGACACTGGGTCATAACCAGTGCACGGGTTATGACCTACTGGAATGTAGCGCCCAACGGGGTTGACCATAACCAGGGCAATGTTGGGGTAATCATACCCAGGGCATGGTTGATGCAGCAGGCTGATTGTGCCTGACCAAGTCTTCTCGGCATAATTATATTGCAAGCCTCGCATAGCGGTGATGAGTACACCACATAGGCACCGTAGCTCCCGGGATGAGTAGCTCAGTATGGCACAATCTCACCATGCTGCAGTAAAAAGTTGGTTCGTTCCAGTGCCCACAGAAGCAGTTGATACCTAGCTACGATCTCAACTGGGTCTACCGACCACAGGTATCCGACGACGATGAGTCAAGAGATCTTAGCTGGAACTATGGGCCACAGGTACTGTATATGACGACGATGAGTCACGATTGCCATTCATAGTCTCACACGTGTGCATACTGGCTCAAACCCTCTCCGAGACCCAGATAGCAGCTCGGCAGCCAACTTTAATGGCCTGCGTTAGACTTTCGTAAGCTGGAGCTTTCTCGGCATCGTGCTCCAGGCCAGTCTCGAGGTGATGCAGCTCGTCATCCCGACACCGCTTGATGATCTCTTTCAGCTCTTGATACTCCTCGGGATTATTCTCCATTAGATGACGCAATTGTTTGTTGTAGTGATCACCGATGACCTCTTCCACTGCTACTGTACATGCCATGGCAGCCTCAGAGCCTAGCAACGCTGTACCAGCACCCAGCGCAAAGCCAGCCACGTTCCACAGAGGCATCAGAGCAGTTGGCCTGACGCGGTGCTCTCTGGATAACTTCTCAAACAGCTCTAAATGCACTTTCTCCTGTTCCCACATCTCCTTGATGACTGGGCCAACGGCAGTCTTTCCCAGTACTGCCAGCTGGCCAGCATAAATCCTATCGGCACCGAACTCTCCTGCATGGTCAACGCGAATCAAACTGTCAATATTACTTGGTGCACGTTGGGATATAGCTCTCATGCCAGAGACAGAAAGCGCACGATGGGATATCCTCCATCGTAGCATCGTTCAGGTTCGTCCAGATATACAAAGAAAGAGATCTTGCCAGTCAATCTCGTCCTCTCCAAATCGAGCACACGTATCTTCTTCTTCTTCTTGATTGATTTTCAAACAAACAACAATAATTTTGAGGTGCGTTGTTTCACTCCATTACGTAGATATAAAATTAACTACGTCATGCATACACGCGTCACGCGATACGGGTTACCATGGAGTAGTAAATTACAGGAATTTTTACTACTTATGTTGCACCCGGTACCCGCGCACGGTACCGCCACCGTCCTAGGGCTAGGCTAGCGCTAGGAGCCTAGGTCCTCTACTACAGTACTAGTACTCTAGTCTAGACTGGTCCGGTGTCTCGTGGCGCAGGCTTTCCTCGGACATCGTTGACCCTGCTTCGGCTCTTGTGATGTAAATACTCCACAACTAACTGTTACTTCTACTCTCCATCCGTTGTGCGTGTTCAAAAAGGGCCAGAAAAGTGCTCGTTGAACGAATAATTTCGTCTTTCGACAGAGGAGATCGAGAGCTTTAGCCAAGTTTAGGCAATGGACGACTCCGAAGACATGTCGAGGCCTCAGCAAAGAGGGACCGGCGCTCCAGCTAGTGCTGATAACTCCGGTCGGATGTTGTCGGCAGGTTGGAGGCGCGGCAGTTTGAAGGACTGGAAGGAAACCGGCACGACCCTGTCCGTCGCCGCTCCTGAGAGCGCCGCTGAAATCCGATCCACGGCCACAGGAGCTCTGCGGCATGACACACACACCGGGTTCTTCTGCTTCGAGAGGGCCGTGGAGACCACGTTCGTTCTGCCATGGGATATGAATCCTCGCGTTCAGCCGGAGCGATTTAGCGAGAAGCTGAGAACGGGAATTCGCAGTGAGCTGTTGGACGCCGCAGCGTTGTCGATCTTGGAAGCATCAGGAGCGCTGAACTGGAATGTGTGCGTTCAATGGTCGGTCAAGGCTACGAACCCGGAGCGTTGGGTACCGGTGGATGGTAACCTGTTCGTTGAGCTGGAACGTCTGTATCACACGGCGGACACGGAATGCAGTATACCAGCACTCAACGTGGTGGTCAGCTTCGCCAAGAACATGATCCAGATCCCTGGCAGTCCAGTACAGGAACTGCGGCGACTAGCGTGTGCACCGCTCATGCCACTGAAGGTATGGCCTAGCCTGCATAAGCTCAACACTTGACCTGGTACAGTGCCGAGTGGTAGCAGCGCACATATCTGCATTGTCCTGGCTGCAATGACTTCTTATAGTAAAAGGTTTATAACTAACTTTATAGTAACCACGGTTACAGTGTAGTGAGATTTCCTGCTTTAGCACAGCCAACCGGTCATAGTACTGGCATCTGTGGCGTGTTACTGTTCACGGCTATGTATTCTATCGTGGATGCCGGTTTGGCCAAATGCCCAGGAGTTTCCGGAAAATCTGGAAACCCTATGAAATGCATGGCTGGTTGGACGAAGACGAATTGACTTGTTTGCATGCTCCGTGCCCTGAGCCGCATGATGTTGGTTTTTGTTTGCTATTCTCATGCGGCACATGCTGGTAAGTATTGACAACCCTTATTGCACACATACCGGTATATATGTACATGTATGTGTGTGTGCGTGTGTGTGTGTGTGTGTGTGTGTGTGTGTGTGTGTGTGCACATTCATATGATCGTGTATGTGTGTGACGTTGCACTGATTTTCAGGTGGATGAAGGTGATGGCTACTCCCTGTTTCACGCTGCCTCGATGGGCTTCTGGGGCGTGCACGACAGAACAAACTTGCTGAGAGATGCTGTTCTGCATTCACTGCATGATATGAAGGCTCAGTTTGTCATTTACAAGCGATGGAGCGAGGACCGGCAAATCCGTGCAGCGATCAGTGGAACTAGTTTATTACCTGAGGTAAGTTTGTTAAAGAGTATACCATGTAGTCAGCATACTCAACGACTGGTTTGCGCCAGAGGCGTCAGAGGAAGTTTTTGAAGTGCATGGGGAAATAGGGGCATGGGATACGGGGACACCCCCATGATATTTTGAATTAGGCCTAGTCTAATAGTTTAGCCAGAGAGCGCATGTGGTGGAGGTAGAACTAATGCTAATAGTATTCAGGGGCGTAGGAGGGGTTTTGGAAGTGGTACGACCGAAGACGGTGGGCGCGGCCGAAGGCCGTGTTGGAGGGGGGTCGGGTCCCCCGGGAAAATTTTGTAAAAAAAGACACAAAATCCTTCGTTCTGGGACTGTGCAGTGTGCAGTCGAGTCGAGTACAGTACTCAGTAGATCTACGACTGCAGATGCATGCCAGATCTATGAGTACGAGTCCAGAAAAAGGTCAAAGTCTGACTGAGTGCGCATATGCATCGATGGATCCTGATTTTTTTATTACGGTTTTGCACGTTCCGGACGGACCACACTTTTCGAAAAGTGGTACGGCCATGGTCGTACCAGTCGTAGCGGGTGCTACGCCCCTGGTATTCTACCAAAAAAAGCTGTCCGCTAAACTTGACAGAGCATTGCCATGCAAAGGTCAAAGTAGTGAAGTGCTGGCAAGTGAAATGCAACTGTGCCGACCTAGCTCGTCGGAATATAGCAAAGCCTCATTCACTGCATAGAGTGTGTGTGTGTGGGGGGGGGGAGGGGGTGTGTGTGGGGGGGGGGGGGGCGTGCACTCGCGGGTGTGCATGAGCGTGTGTACATGTACGTGTGTGTGTGGGGGGGGGGGGCACACGCACGTGTGTGTGTGTGTACGTGTACATGCGTGCATGTGTAATGTACTAGTATTTAAATAGGACCAAGCATTCCCTGGGCTGCTATATCCATGAGGTTGAATTTCATTTTGACACAACTGGACAATGTCATGTACTGTTCTGATCAGCCTCCCAGGAGGTCATGCTCCTTGTCTATGATGCGGGCGTGAGTGCATTTCTGTTATAAGAACTTCAGCTATAAAGAAGTAAGTATCCTGTACAATGGTGTTAGTTATACATCAGGAGCCGACTATATTCCATAGAGAGTTTGTTTATCTTGTGTGTGTGTGTGTGTGTGTTCCTTGGTCCTGGCTAGACAACGGAGCTGTGGGAGACTGCTAAGCAGACCATGCCGCAGCTGTACGTGTTCTCCCTTGCCAACGTCACACAGCGGCCAATCATCGTGTATGCGTCGCCTCAGTCGGATGTCGGGTATGTTAGGGTTCGATAACCATGGTAACAAACCAGCCAGTCTCGCACAATAGGGCTTTAAAGTGCTACGTCACGGAAAGCCTATAGTCATGGCAACGCTGACCTTTTGATCCACTTGGATCCAGTTTTGTATGGATCCATACCCGTTTGGATGGTTTAACTCCTCAGTAGGGTGACACATCCGCTGGCAGTGACTGGACTGGGCCCTCCTGGTCAGGTACCCACTCTTGCTACAAAAATCACACCTGTGTGCGACACGAGGGGCCCACCCGCCACACCCTGTACTTCGCTATGGAGTATGGGCAGAGTGGATCCAAAAGTTGTACTTTGTCGTTAGATTTTAACGCCTGACGTCATCACTTTCAAGCCCTATACATGTGCAGTCCACCACTTATAGGTACGCGGCTAGGATGACATCACGTACCCGCGCTCTCATATCACTGCATGCATCCACACGAAAACACACAAGGTAGTTGGGCTCAAAACCGCCTGATGTTTTGGCGTGAGCATGTGATAGGGATAATTTGGTTATGGATCTGTACTACAGATCAACCTTAGAGCACCCAGGATGATGAACATCAGGAGACTTCCGAGTGTAACTTGATTCCCATTGATGTTTCTCCTTGCCTTGTTTGACTTGTCCACTTCCAGAGGTATCTACCTGCCGCTACTATGGGGAAATCTGGCAACAATGCATCACTCCAGCGACAGCAATACCTTGCTGAAGAACCCGCTAGTCTTGGGCTATGACTGTAAGTCACAGATATGGTCTGCCATGCGCTGCGACGGTGGCACTGTGTGCCTCGACGGTATGGGGTATTTCGCTCTTCTCAGCATTCAGTCACATGACTAGTTCTACGGACACTTGGTGTGGACCAACCATGCTTGTTGAGTGGGTTCAAATTTGCCGGAGATCATTAGCATCCACAGATGCATGTACACGTACATGTACTCATGTCTGTGCGTGTTTGTGTGTGTGTGTACGCGGGCGTTTTTGCAGCTTCAAGAAATCACTTCGTCCCGCTGTGCACTTTCAAGGGCACAAAGGTAACTTTGTGTGTTTGAATGTTTGAATATTTGAATGTCCGTATGCCATATGAGCAGCTCTTGTCTGGCTTAGTAAACAGACAGGATGCAATCATGATTGGTTGGCAAAAGCCTAATGATCTCGACATCGGACGACCTAGCAATCTGGACATACACACGCTTACACTACCAGAACACAAACCACCGTTGTCCATTCATTATCCAGTCAGTATCAAGTTATGAGGAAGAACAACCAATACAAGATAACCCCAAAACATCGGGGGGAGAGAGAGAGAGAGAGAGAGAGAGAGAGAGAGAGAGAGAGAGAGAGAGAGAGAGGTGAGATGCGCAAAGAGTACGCTTCGAAAACGGCAGGACCCGGAAGCAAGCGTACGCATGCGGAACCAGCATACTGTGCAGCGCACATGGCGAGGCCAAACACATTGCGATACTGCGCACACAGATCCTGAGCTGCTTAGCGATTATGTGGTCAGGTAAAATGTGATGCCATAGAAACCGAAATGGCGGCTACATGGAGCGCATCTAACACGAGTACTGTATGTTGATGTGTATGTTCCAGGTGAATTATGTTGTCCGGGGCCCTGTTTCCTTTGTCACTGGTGCGATGGTTCTTTTGTTACTGGTGTGATTCGCACAGGGCCCTCGTCTCATTCTGCTACCCCTGGTATACTCCAACAAGGAGCCATTGCCCGTACAGTTTCTGACACGTCAGGAGGTAAGCTAGCCATGGCCAGTGATCCATATTGTGCTCGGCACCCGTCGCCAGTTAAGTTAGAGGTATTTTATTTTATGCGTTCCAGTGCCAATGGTTTGGTCGTGTTCTATAAGATATGCTCCCCCCCCCCTCCCCACATGGTTGCATGAAACAATATTTTAACAAGCGACCAGTTATTGAAGTGCTATTTATGCAGCTTGTGGAAGTCTGACAATCAACAGAAGTCATTTCAATCCATCGCATCCTTTTTTTTTGTTGGACAAGTCAACCGGCATGATTGAGGCATTCACAGCAAGTTGACTGTTCTGTGTCTGTACAAGAATGTGTCACAGTGTGTGAAACGGCAACTGATGCCAGGCATTATGCACTGTAGCAGAAGATTAGGACTCGGTATGCAAACATTACGGGGGGGGGGGGGGGGGGGGTGATGCAGAGTGCGTGCAGGTTCACTGATTAGGGTGGATGCGTTTTGTGGGTTCCAGTGCAATCACGCAGAGGACGCTGTCACAAACCAGCCATTACTCGTACTTTCCTCGTCACCCTTTCCTCCTTAGCAATGTCAGGTCCTGATCAAGGCTGAATGAACATAGGAGTGGTTGCAAAATGACAAGCCCGAACTGTACCACACTACAGGATCGTCGACCGTGCCAAACCGTTTGCACATCAGATCATTGCACTAACCACTGGGCTAACTTGCACTGTGCTATGCATGTATCCGCTGTCAATCTTTATTTCTGGTCAGGTTCCTCATCAGAATACTCTACTGCAGCAACTGATGAATGTACATATTCATGAGAGCAGCGCACCGTCAATCTATGTCGAGCCAGGATCACCAATGAAAGGTACGTGCAGTTTTCCAATGTCAGTGAACTTTACTAGAAGTGTTCAGTGCTGCGTCGTGGTCGTTGTACAGACCAAAAGGCAAGAAAATTTAATAATTCGACTCTAACGAGTATACATGTACTTGGTTGGGAGATGTATTGATAGACTGAAAGACTGATTGTATAAATACTTGGGTTCGTGTGCTGCGGCATGCCCCCCCCCCCCCCCCCTGATGCTACGGGAAGCTGACTGGCTGTCAGGCAACCACCGCTAAAGAGACCCAGCAAATGATGCCAAGCTAGTACTACGCCCCCCCCCCCCCCCGCAGGGTCAGATGAGTGGTAAAACATGCCGCAGTTTAGTCCTGGTTATAGGACTCAGTAATAGTGGTCCTCTAGGGCAGTGCTATGTATATGTAGTGTAGTTATTATAATAATTATTATTATGACTACATGTTCACATGTCATATTGCGCATGCGTAAGGAAAATATGGTCTTTCTTCTTGGTGAACTTGAAGAGTACCTTGTGTGAGTGTAGACACAACAGGCAGTAGATCGCATTATCATAGTAAGTTGTAGTCCAGTCATAGGTTTTGCTATCGTTCTGACTGCAGGTATTATTGCTTTGCACTCTATGGCCTTGCTTGACTGTGAGAAGACCGGGCAGAATTGGAATGGAGAGCGGGACACTAATCGTCATTCTATTTGGGCTTCTTAGTTCTTACCTGGGATCTTGTGTGTGTGTGTATGTGTGTGTGCGTGCGCGTGTGCGCGTGTGTGTGTTGCTGCTGTAGCTTCTCTGCCGCCAACGCTGCACAATCAGAAAGATGGCGCCATCCCCACGGCTGTGTTGGATACGCCTGCTATGCCCGAGGTGCTGGACAGTCTCATGAAGCGATTTGAGACTCTGTTTCTATGATCAGCGAGAAGGCATTACGAGGCTTCTTCTCCCTATGATTGTCTGGTGAGATCTGCCTCATCCCCACGACAAGGACGGTGAATCCAGACAGTCACGGGCGACTGTGAGTTGTTCAGCCGGCTTAGGTGATTGCTTTGGAGAGGGCCGTATCGCCTATATGGGTAGTGATCAGCATTCAGTCAGCTCTGGCCATTAGCATTCAGTCTGCTCTGGCCGTGACGGTATCCTGAGGTGAACATAGACTGTGACAGCAGTTCAGCTAGGACAGGTTCAGCGGCCCAACCTGTACGACACGTCTCCCTGAATGCACTGTTCCGGCATGTGTATCTGATCATCAGGGCGCTGTGAAACCGTATGGCACAGTCGCTGCAGCCCGGGTGATGCCTCTTTTCAGTGGTGTCTCCCCAAATGGACTCTACTTTAAAAGACTCACGTGGCTTGGGCTAGGTGGTACAGCAGGCTACATGGCCTTCACAGAGAATGTGATCTTACCTCCCCAGGCCACCTAGGCCTACTTATAAGTGATTTCTGCCTCATTAAAATCCACGAACGTTTAATAGTACATGTACATGTAGTCACGTGTCCCTGAGAATCCGCGAACAGCGTCACATTTTGTTCTTTTCGAGTCAGTGTGGACTTCGCTACATGATACCTTAGACACGGATTCTGCTCAGACCAGGTAGCCCAGCGCATTGTACATACTTTTCTAAGGCAGCTTGTCAAAATGCCTGTAATTACCCGTTCTACAGTATGTGTGTGTGTGTGTGTGTGTGTGTGTGTGTGTGTGTGTGTGTGTGTGTGTGTGTGTGTGTGTGTGTGTGTGTGTGTGTGGTGTGTGTGTGTGTGTGTGTGTGTGTGTGTTTGGTGTGTGTGGTGTGTGTGTGTGTGTGTGTGTGTGTCCTTTCTTGGAAAATGTCTTTGCTGAGCTTCACGGTTCCACGTTTATTCAATTTCCCATCACTGCGGCTTCTCCCTTTGCTTGCCACTTGAAGTTTCAGCGGCTTGACCTTCAATATGATTATGATACCAATGGAAGGCCTTCTGACTGACTGATATGCCACTGGAGCATGCTATTATCAAGAGTACATAATGTACTCCGCTGCTATTATGTAGAAAGAAATCCAGCACATATGCTCAAGGCTTTCACTGAATGTAAAGTAGTGCAGCTTGCGACTATCGGCTATGACAGGTTGCTAGCTGATCAGACCGTGGCACTCACCGGGCTTTATTAGGTTCACCAGAACTAAAAAGTTCCACCACATGGTATTGGTAAGCATGTATACGGTAAGCTAAGAAGCCTGAAAACAAGACCTACAGAGTACAGACCAGTCGTCGCCAAAAAACTCCGCCGAATGCTAGCTCGACTGCATGCAGCAGGCAGACAGTATAGTAGGCGGTATTTCATCGCTCACGGTGGCATGGTGGCTTGCATGAACAAGTCGACTGATCTGCGCTGCACTATCATAGTATCTGGCTGCTGCATGCAGTCGAGCTAGCTAGCACAGCATTGGCCGGATTGTTTGACTGTAGAAGAAAGTAATACTAATAGTTTAATGTAGTATAGAGTGATTGAGACATTTTCTCTCAAGTCTGGACATGTACCATGTTTGTACACCTGGTACACTCAGTCAGAGCTAGAGCCAGTAGAGGTAGTCCGAGTCAGGTTTCGGCTTTCCAGCATGCCCCGGGGCCGGTAGAATCGTTTCTTTTTTTTCGGCGCTCCCCCACATCCATTTTAATATTTGGCCATGTCCAGGTGTTTCAGGGAAGCCAGCCAGCATTGTTGCAAAGCTCTTCCCCAAACATTCATAGTCGTTACCAGTGGTTACGTAGATCTACCATGCATGATCTCCGTACCGCGTCGTGTACCGTGTACGTGCACAAGTGCACAGCTCGCGGCTTGCTAACGGTAGTAACGCGCTCGTGAACAGGCCATATACGCATATGCACAGAACAATTTTTGTACCGTAGATCTACATACAGTACACCAATCAACAATTACATGTTACACCGTATCGAGCCGCGGTACAAAAACTTGAAAAAGTCAAAAATATGTTGAGCTGCGCCATGATCCATCCAGTGCATATGCGCATGCAGGCATGGCAACGCTGCCAAGTCAAAATTTAATACGACCGTACTCTGGTACTTCCTCAGGTTCCTGTACGCCTTGCATCAAGAGTACATAAACTATGTACTCTTGCAGGCATCGTTTGGTCAACAAGCTTTTTTTGGTGAGGAAATCTACAAACTGCATATCCGGCGGTCCTGGTCTGCATTGACTGTAGGTCTACGAAGTTGGAGATCACCTTTTCTGCTACGCCTTGAAGTTTGACGAGATCTTCACCGTTTTCAGTTTGACGTGAGCATGAGGAAGCTTTGTTAGCTGTCCCGAGCAGTGATGTAGGTTTTCGTCCCCGTCACGTCAACATGATGGCCAGTGTAGGAGCCTAATCGGGTGCTGCTTACCGCAGAAACTGCTTCCTCTTCAAGGCCAATTGAAGGGCAGCACCCTCCATTCGGCTTTGCGCCATGGCTCCAATCAGACATGTGGGATACTTGAGGCGTGTAGGTGGTCCGGACGACTCGAGTCTAGCTTTCGCAGTGTTGTGGAATGAAGAGCTAACGCTGTTTCCGTGCCAGGATGCCAGCCAACAGTATATTGATCCAACAGCAGAGGTATATGCAAACCCTCAGGTGTTCAATATCAAGGGTGCATCTGCATTTGTCACGCAGTGTGTGGAGAATAACAAACACCCAGGATTATTCAATTTGATTGGGCACAAGTCGTCATGGAAAGCTCAGCTCACTGCAGGCAGTAGAGAGGAGGCTGTGATATGGGTTGCCAGGATCCTGAGCTGCTCGTCCGGATGTAAGCCGCGGCCATCGTCATTTGAATCAAGGGTCGATCTCATCCAGAAGGAGATTGACGCGATAGTCGACGAGTCTCCGAACGCTGACTGCGCAGATGTGACATCAATAGTCAATTGGATGAAGCGTGTGAAAAAGCAGGATGCTGAGGAAATTGTGGTGGGTGCAACAGCACCGAGTACGCCACGGCGGACAATGGCATACAAGCGATTAACCTGCCTGAAAGAGCAGCTCAAAGAGCGAGAATACCTATTGAAGCAGCTAGAGGCACAAGAGAAGCAGTTCCTCGGCAGTGAGAAACAGGAGTATCACCCGTGCCGCTTCACCACGACTGCAAAGACGTCGTTTTGCCTGCTCAACGGAAACGACAGCACCGAGGTGCGGAGCGGCGACAAAATCGTCGTGTATGGCCTCAAGGAGGACTACACCTGGCGCTGCTGCGTTGATCGCACCGTGAGCGTGGTCATGAGCTGCGGGTGCACTGGCTTGCCCGGATGTGACGCTGCCCAATGCTGTCTCGCTGCTCGTGCTACTGCCGACACGCAACAGTCTGTCGTGGTGGAAAGCAGTATGCTAGAACCATCAGCCATCAGCACCTCTCTAGTAGGCGAAACATTGAGTGAAGAGGGAGACTCACTTACGTCAGAGGCAGCGGCACTGGGCCAAGCTCCAGGCTCTAAGCTGCCGCCAGCAAAGCCTAAACGTCCTAAAATTGAGCAGAAGACACTGAAAAGCACCGTATCAGTTTGCTACAATGGGCCCTGTGAGAGTGCGCCTAAGGAGCAGAAGGTTTGCTTGTCTGCCTCAGTCCCCAGTTTGATCACTCCGGATGATGGTGTTAGAAAGTCTCTCGACAGCAGTCCTCAGTCTTCAATGTCATATACTGGTGATAGGAGCGCGTGTACCCAGGACAACGTGTCCCTTTCCAGCATGGAAGAAGGTGTTGATCACCATGATCTGGCCATTGCTGCCAAGGAGGTTACTTATCCACTGCTTGGCGCACTGCCCTCGCTAGATGTAGTGGTGTTTGTCGGCGAGGAGGCTGCCCAGGTTCTCGCCACCGTCCAGTTGGCACGCAGCCCGCCCGAGCTCAATTCCGCCGACTCTGCGTCACCCACGGCAAAGCCAGCAGGACGCATCAAGTCCGTTGCGCGCCGATTGACATCCAGCAAGCCATCTACATCGCGAGAAACGTCTCCAGGCAGTGGGTCAAAGTCACCGGTGCCCAAACCCAGGAACATGCGGCAGCGTTTGTCCACAGGCTCAGCATCTACCTACGGCTTGCCATTTGCAATATCCGATACGAGCTCAATGAAATTTTCGTTCCGGAGGTGTTCCAGTGCATCCGCTGGTTGCTCTTCGGGGCTGGACGTGAATGGTGTAACAGGAGACTCAGGCAAAACACCAACATCGGGCTCAGATGAGAGCAGTACGTTAGGAGGCGAGCCTGAATCTAGTTCTGACAATGATTCCATGGTCAGCTGTCCCGTTCGACCAGCTTCGGTTTGTGCTAGTAGCAATTTAGATTATCATGAATTCAACATGAGAAATGCCAAGTCCGATTCAAACCTTCCACATTCTCTCCCTCACAATGACGTACAGTCGCCGATTTTCCGCGGTATTGTCGAAAGCATGGGTGCAGCATCCAAGTATGCGGTGGAGAATGATGACTTGCCTTCACGGTCCAAGGTATGTCAACTACGCGGCTCGCGCTCGCAGACATCTAGTGGTAAAGACTACCGCACAGGATCCAGGCGCGGCTCTTTAACTAGCGTCAGAAGTGCTGTTCCGACCATGCACACGTCCAGCGTAGGAGCAGGTCTAATGCCGTGCTTGAATAATGCTTGGGACAACGAGTCTTTCGACATCAGCTTGGACCTGTCCGGCGGCAGCAGTATGGTTCACACGGTGCAGTTTGACTGGCCGTCACCTGGCCTGCACTTGGCTAGTTTTGTCCTCTACCAGCACAGCACGAGCACTATCGGCACCTGGAGTGAGGCTTCGGAGAAATCCAGCACGAGTACAGACGCAAACATCAAGAAGCCAACTGAGATTGTGACTGTAAGCCATGTCGACAAGTTCTGCACTGCTGCGTCGGCCGGTTGCATGCCCGGGGATGCTGTGCTCAGCATTAATGAACACAGAATGGACAACTGCTCTGCCAATGATGTAAGTAGAACTTGTGGGAGTGTGGTACATGTACATAAGGCCAAAACAAATAATGACCTTGTTTCCGGTCGCCCGACCGGGCCACTTTTTCCCAAATTCTGAAACTTTTTTTGGTCCCAAATGTATACAAACGGTGGCAATGCCATGTGTGCAAGTGCACTCAACGAGTCATAACTCAGTCAAATCTCAACCGAATTCCACAATCGAAACACCCACAAGGTAGCAGAGATTCTCAGTTGTCGGCTCGAAAACCTCCGGGGTCGATACAAGCTAGAATAACGGAGCTGGAAGGACTCGAACTATTTGCTTGATTTCTCAGGATGTACGAAAACAGGAATACACCACGTGCTGTACAAGAACAGTGAGTCAGTCAACCTTGACATTGATCCTTGCCATGATATATGTACAATGTACATGTGTAGGTGCTCTTGTCCATCAATACCAGGAACCAAAAAAAGTATCCAAAAAAAGTTTCATTCCGGCCGACCGAGTCTCCTTTTTGAGGGGTTGCCGACCGGAAACAAGCCTATTTTTTGTTTTGGCCTAATTATACTTTTTGAGATTTCAAGCATAATTATGCCGAATGTGCTGAGAGAGAGACAGTGAATGTTGGAAGTTGGCAGAGTTGTGTTCATGTGCACGTGGCCGCGTTAAAGTTCGCATAAGATAAGACGGTGTTTGGGTCGAGTATATAGAAGCTGCTGAAACAATGGTATGTGTAACTGTACGCCAATTTCAAGCAGGTATCTGACTGCCAAATCATGTGATAATTTGGCACAAAGCAGGACCATTGACATTGCCATCCAACGACCTGACATTCAGCTCTAGCAAAGTTTACCATATACGTGGGTTTGCACATCGTGTGAATACTGTAAAACGGGTAACGTTTGCGACAAGAAATGTTTGCGTTTTACAAATTGAGACTGGTTTGCGCTGTTTAATGTTTGCGATACAGTCGAGTCAGTCGTTGCACTGAACTTTACATGGCGCGAGTTTGCGTTGTTCAAAGTTTGCGATTCGGCGCCTCTCGCAAAATTCGCAAACATTTTTACGTCGCAATAGTTACCTGTTTTACAGTAGCCTATTTACTGCAAGCCCGTATAAGCAGCCAGCCTGTATACACTCCGGGGTACAGTGTACTTTAAGCCAGGGGTGTCATCGAGTGGTAGGGTACCCGTGCTACCCGTAATTAGAGCGAGTATTCGAGTAGCAGTTTGCTCCTGAGAACCCGGTCAGGTAGTTGGAGTATGGTGTTTTCGCAACGGTGCGTGTAAAGAGAACAACTACTTTCCATGTAGTGCAAGTGCACACTCACTGTACAAGCTATGTCGAAATACCTGATAGGATACCCGTGCTACCCGGATAGAAATACCCGAACTCGTTACCCAGCCAAACCCCTACCCGTTGCAGCCTTACTTTAAGCTTAGTTCACATTTGATTGGGTGCGACGGGACGGGACGGTCTGACGCCGTCCGATGTGAACACCAGGCACGGGAACGGAACCGTATTACCGTACAGATCGGGAAGCGACGGGAAGAGTTGAATTGATTCAACTTTTCGCACCATAGACGGGGGACTCAAGCGTACAAAATGGCAGCAATTCGAGTGTGAACAGGAGATGGTGTCGTGCGCCGACTACTCCCAATTCGTACTTGGAAATTGTTGGCATTCGAATATTACGCTTCCCATGATAACTCACAGAATGGCTAACACGACTTGAGTTGAATTTTAGCAAGATAAGATCTTGTGTTACTTATTGTATTTAGGGGTAGTTCAGGAGTGTGACAGACTAGCTGTTGTCATTTCCTGGGGCTACTAGGGACCTTTCGCATTTGCTACGAAACGAATGCGAAACGAAAGTTTGATTCGGCTCGTAACCGTTTCGTTGAAAACAGATTTCAGGTTTCGCAAGTCGTCATGCAAATGTGCATGGCAACTACGAATACGGCCGCGGGCGCCGGTAGCTTGGCGTACGGGTTTTTACACGCACACGTGCATGGATCATGGAATCATGGGAAACATGTGTACCTTGCAAAACATGAGTACCTATCCAAATAAATGTGTACCTGACGGATTCGGAGCGTGCCACGAATGAAGAGGCTTCCATTCGCGAAAACGAGTTCTCCGCAGGGACTCTGACGAATCCTCGAACCCAGGTGACGAATCAGCATTCGTTTCGTATCCGTACGCGGGGTGCGAAAGGTCCCTATTATTTGGATGGCACAACTTTAAGGGCTAGAAGTACTTTTTGTTTTTCATGAAAAACTGGTGCTGTGAACTTGATTCTGCTTCATTCAAGGAGAAATTATTGAAAAGAAGTCTCGAAAAACAAGAAATTAGGTCCGAAAGTCACCCCGTCACGGACCGTGCCTTATGTCAGTTATGACTCATGCCGTTTGACGTTGAGCATCGCAACGACTGCTGCATGTCATGTCGTATGAATCGTACAGGATTTGCAGCTCACTCCAGCTGTCCCGACAGGCCCTTACGTCCCGTACCATCAGCGTTGCGTCGACTGTGAACCAGGCTTTACAGTCTGTTTCGCACTGGGCTTTCATGTTATTGGTCCAAACCAAGAGTAGATAACCCCCAAGAGTGTGCAGCTCCACTCTGGGTGCTGTTAGGCAGAATCTTAAGTTGAGCAGTATATTCTATTTTTGGTGTGGGTGTGTGCATTTCTTGCCTTGTTTGCAGGCTTGGGACATCTTGAACAGTATAAGCTCCACATCTGTCCGGCTTCTCCTGATGCCCATTGATGGAATTCAGCGCTTGGAGTTGGAACACAGGAAGCAAGTCATGGATACAATGTTGTTTCATGCTCAGTTTTCTACGTGGATGCTGCAGAATTGGGAGCAATCCATCCAGATGGGCGGTGCTGCCTCAATGTTGCAAGAGGTTGACCTGGAGTAAGTGCAACAGCATCCTGTGTTTGTGTGTGTGCGCATGTGTGCATGACATATACAGGGTTGTACATAACCATGCTTTGGGTTCAACTCCCTGCTGGTCACTTTGTGTCATGTGATGTGAAGTGCTGCCGTCGCAGCACTCGCTAGTGCTTGTGCAGGCTCGCTCTTGCTATCACCTAACGTTTTTTTTACTCTTTCCTGTTACACCCCATCTGTATTTTCTTACAGGGACTCGTCTGACTCGTCTGATGATGAAGCAACGATGTAACTTGCAAATAATATATGTACGGACGCCGGCATGGGCAATCATGCCGGTCCACTTGAGCCGCTATAGCCGACCGTCACACTGATTTAGAAGCTAGCTTGGTTGGTATAAATGTTCCGCACTTCTTAATTATGATAGTTTGAGACTCATCCAATAGCATTTTTGTTCTTATCACTTTTTAAACAATTCTCTCGTATTGTACTTTCTGAACATTTTTTTGCGCCAAGTACTGCATGATGTACTGCATTCACATTCAGAGGCAGTTCTAATAAATTATCTAATTTTAGAAATCGCTGCCCCTCCGAGTTATAATTTTGAACTCTCATCTAACAAAGCAGTTGCTAAACGAGCAAGCATGTGGGTGTTACATATCGACTCCGTGCTTCCATGCATAACCGATGACCCATGCTATGTGTATGCTGACAGCATTGCAATTTATACTTTGAAGTACACTGTTAGGTTTGTTTTGACTGGGAGCCCAGCATCAACCTGTGGGCGCTGCATTGTAGGTTCTATATTTGTGTTTTCAGGTTGTTGCTATTTTCTCTCTCTCTTGATGATCCTGTTCCCCAGCAGTCCCGGGATCCCTGGTACCCTTAGTCTGGGATGGGTTTCAAGCCATTCGTTTCCCCTCCCCCCCCCCCCTCTCTCTCTTTCTTGGTCTTTTTTTATCTGTCTCTTTTTCTCTGCTGTGTCGAAGCCAGTTGTCTCTCGCTCTGCAGCGTTGCTCTTCCACCTTGTTTCGCCAGGTTTCGTGCTATGCTGCTGCTCAGTCTGCATCATTTTCCGTTTTGCCTGGCTAGAACACAGCGCATACGCAGACTGTCATGTGTTGTTGTAATGCTCCACAGAGTTGTTTGTACTTTCCTCAATTGCCCCATTGTCGTATATTTACTGTTTTGTTACGGCGACGTTTTTTTATACTTGTTTGAATCTCCTACGACTCGTTGACTCTGGAATCTCAGCTCAGTTGCAGATGTGGTATTGTATGAAGTAGTAGCAGATCAGTTTTACCAAGAGTACATAATGTACATTATGTACTCTTGGTTTTACTGGTCCAAGTTTCTCCGGCATGGTCGAGGCTCAGCTGCCCGTACCACGGTGTGTATAGCGCATACACATGATTGTAACGAAAGCATTTCACGAGATGCAGGCGAGACTCACCACAGGGCCAGTCACAAAGCTTGGCCAGTATCTCGCTGGTGATATACGGTAATATTATGAGTGACTGTACACCTCTGGGCCCTACTGTTTTGGGCTGTATACAGGTAATTGGCCGGTATTCATATTGCCGGGGCACATATGCCCCATGTACCAAGAGTATTATGATTATGATCCCGGGGAATTAGGTACAGTCAACTTCGCGTATAACGACACTCGGCGGGGCGTCAGAAAAGTGTCCTTATTCGCGAAGTGTCGTTATACCCGAAGTCCCATTATATGTATTACAGTTGGATGGGACTTTGCTCTGGGCATGGAAGTTCTGTCGTTATTCGCGAATTGTCGTTACATGTATATCAGCAGTCGTTATTAGCGAAGTTGACTGTACATGTACTAAAGTATACTGGGTAAGAAAAATCAAGTACCCGATCGGAACACATGCTTGTGCTAGTAGAGTAGTAGTTCGCAAAGTCAGGGGCTTATAATTATACTCTTGCTTGTACTGACATCTGTCTGTCGCAAGAGTACAACAAGCAAGAGTACATAACCACAAGGCACAAGGTTACAGTCATGTAACTTGTTAGGCAGATCGAGTAACCATGGTAACCACAAGGTCTCTTGCATTGGTTGTCAGTAGTAAAGAAATGAGCAGTAGGTCTACGAGTAGTATCCGGATATCCGGGAATACAATGCATGTACGTAGACCCGGGTGCTCGAATGAGATACAGGGTACCAAAACAGAAACAGCCTGAAATTGTACCTAAACTTATTCCGATTTCGTTTAGTTTTCACAAATACCATCAACATACGGCCCGCTAACGGTATGCCAAATTTCAGCTCTGCCCGGTAAACGGTTTTTGAAATACTCGCGACCCACTTTTTGTTGGGTCCTTGATTCGAGGATGTGGGTCCACGGTACGGTGCTGCCAAAGACCTGCTGAATCTGCGGCTCCACTGACCATCTTGCTCTCAAAAACGAAGTAGTAAGTTGCTACTCCCTGCCCTCAACTGCCATACCAAGCGTAGACGATGGTAGACCCGTGTGCTTGAATCGGAGACGATCTGACGAGTTTGCTGTTTCTGATTCGAGCACCCAATTTTCAAGTAAAAAATCCGAAGGAAATACGACTATTTTTAATACTGCGTGCTGTAGCTTGTGTTGTAGCGCACCCAGGTTCTGAATTCCTGCTAGGTGGGTCAAGCCAGACTCTCTTCCCTGTTCCATCGCCTCTCCAAAAGTATATTCTGACATTGTTGAGATTTACAGATGAGAAATTGCACACCTGTCAAATCGTTTCTGATTCGAGCACCCGTGTCTACGGGTACTTACCGGCGGCGGTAGTACGTACCGCAGACTTGAGCTGAAAAAATGCAAAAATGCCCGCGAACTGAAAATAATTTCGAACATTTGAAAAGACCTTTGAATCCCCATGCATGCCCTTTCCCCTTGCGATTGCTTTGACTGCAGTCTTTGCAAAGCTGAAGCCTGATTATGTATGCAGGGTGCAATGGTAGTTCATGTAGACCTAGTACCTACGGCTTCGCGTCCACCGTGTCGCTCCACCGGCTGGATGGCTGCAGGCTGTGCCTGTCGATGTCACATACTACCCTGGTCTGGTTGATTCTTACTGGTTTCTTGAAGGTTATGGCTGTGAAGATAAGCTTGTTTCTATCACTCAGGGCGTACTTTCAATGCAATCTGTAACTTCTTAGTGCCCAGTGGGTTGTCTTGTGGATCACGTAGAGACTGAATAGCAAGTGGTGATGATTGTGAGGATGTTTCGAAGGGCGATTGGGTTTGTGCGGTGGTCGCTCCTTCGTACTCTGCTGGCACTACTCCTCTTCTCACTGTACGTGTGGTTCTCTGTCATATCCTACCTGTTCCTGTACCAATCGATTGTACCACCCGTGCAACATGTGGCCCCTGTCCACTTCGAATTCGAGTGAGTTTTACGCACTACTATTGTACTATACTGTATGCTACTACAAATTGTACGTTATTTTTTCTTCTATATAAATTATCAATTCATTCCACTTTTCTGTACCATGGAGAGTGCACGGACCACGGGTAATTTAATAATTTACAAAAAGGGACTTTATTTCCTCAACATTAGGCACGATTGCAGTATGCTGTCAGTATACTTTTTCATTCTATCATGTCCATGTGCAACCAGGGGGAAAGCCCTGTTGGTAACATATGCGGCACAGAAGTTACTATTAGTACTGTAGGGAGGTTTCATACCAGGACGTATCCACCTGGAGGACATCCATGTCGGAGAGGTACGCGCCCTTCTTGTATTTTGCAGAACGTGCATTGGGAGCATCCAAAATGGCTAAACACGTACGCGTACACAAGAATATACAGTCGACCTACTCATTATATTAGTTATAACGATATTTGCATTTGTAAGAAAGGGTTTGCTCCCCACACCGGAGCTCGCGCTATTTGCATTTGACCAAGAATTATCGTTATAAGGGTGATCTCGTTGTATTAAGGGTAGCTAGTTCATTTCATACATGTACGTCATAATGCATGATTTTTGTTCATTGTTTACGTCGCTTCACAGCGTCAAAACGTATGCGCATACATGTTCTATGCACATTGTGTACACAGCAAGGCATCACTGGTGCCTCCACTCCAGTGCTTTTTGTCATGTCTCAGCGACTTAGACTGCATCCCTGCAAGAAAGCATCACTCGCTGCTCAGTACACAGTGCTTTGCAGTTTCTGTACGCTTCATTGGCAAGTTATGTATTGTCGTTTCGGCTCAGTGTGACTGGTGTTAATCTGTCTATGTTGCAGCACACACTGTGACGCATCGGTGTGTTCCTTTCCGACAGCCACTATACAACTGAAGAAGGATGGAGTGGTAAGTCACTGTTCATTGCTGGCTGGTGTCCACCCTACAGTAGCTGTTAGGTTGATATTAGAGTGTGCTTCACTGCATGGCCACATCCCGGAGCTAGACTCGTAGGTGGTTTGGCTCTGGGTTACCATACCGTAGTAAGCATATGGTACATCGGACTGTTGCTTGCCGCACTGAGTGCAGGTCTGTGTCT